ATATGGGAACGAACGAATGCTTTCTTATCATAATCATTCGTAATATGTACGTTGCGCATCGTATCCTCGCATGCTCGGATGAATTACGTTATTCTGTAATCATCCTGACCTGTGAAATCACGTACCTGATCACCACGTGGTATCACGTGAAACACATTCGCCGGGTTAGTCGACATATTAGCGTTAGAAGCAGCCGTTGAAACGACAAATATTTGTCGTTGGGACCAGGACAGAACCCAGTGATGGAGAATTAGTGTTGGGATCAAGACGGGACCCAGTGATGGAGAATTAGTGTTGGGAACCAAGACGGGACCCAGTGATGGAGAATTAGCGTTGGGACCAAGACGGGACCCAGTGATGGAGAATTAGCGTTGGGACCAGGACAGAACCCAGTGATGGAGAATTAGCGTTGGGACCAAGACGGGACCCAGTGATGGAGAATTAGCGTTGGGAACCAAGACGGGACCCAGTGATGGAGAATTAGCGTTGAGACCAGGACAGAACCCAGTGATGGAGAATTAGCGTTGGGACCAAGACGGGACCCAGTGATGGAGAATTAGTGTTGGGAACCAAGACGGGACCCAGTGATGGAGAATTAGTGTTGGGAACCAAGACGGGACCCAGTGATGGAGAATTAGTGTTGGGACCAAGACGGGACCCAGTGATGGAGAATTAGTGTTGGGGACATGACGGGTCCCAGTGATGGAGAATTAGCGTTGGGAACTAAGACGGGACCCAGTGAAGGAGTTAGACGACAATAAAGGGGAAACTTGATAATATACTCATGTATTTAAGTTTATCGTGTATGAGATTAAAGTCTGTCATAATGTAAACAAACTAACACATCAGGGTTTTTCCCCCCAACCTAATGCAGGGGAGAGGATCGCCATAATAGACGGCAACATTCAGTCAGTTTGTCTGCTTCATAATCAGTTCCTTTTTTGTGAGCCAGTTTTGTAAAATATGACAGTTTTGTTTCTTGAATACCTATAATGGACTTTGTTCAGATTACTAGCAAAATATCTTATTAAGGTCCAATGAAGAAGAATGTACCCAGCCTTTGTGTGTATATTGTAGTATGGACATATAATAAAAACACAAGGCGAATGTCAGGTTTATGAGGCTCCTTGACAGAGCACAGAAGGAGAATAGTTGGTTTAAACTTAATATAAAGCTACAGTGTTTGTGTAGTGAGTTTGTGGTGTTTGTGTGAGGTGGTGGAGAGGTATATGAAAACTTGTTATATAAATTTACTGATTTAATAAGCAAAGTGGATGAAAAAATAACTCATACAATGCCTGTAAAAAGTTTGGATTCACTTTGTTTCACTCAGAAAGATTTGAGGATAAATAAACCTAATTAGCCCCCCTGGGGTCCGCTGCACACACTCTCCCCACCAGCTGGGAACGAATTACGGTGGAAACTCTTTCAGAAAATTGATGCTTGAAAAATGTATATAGGGTGGTCTCCAAGGGCTGTGTGAGAAAAAGTGTGGAAGGAAGAGCAAGTACAGGTATATTTTCCTGGGAGAATTGCGTTAATTAACCAGATACAGCTCATCTATCTTGGCCCCTCCCAAACTTTCTGGAGTTCAGCATCAACATTTAAAAAAGTATTTCACATATACAGTAAATGCTTTACTGTATTTTACCCGTGGTTCACCTTTACCAACACTTTCGCTACAAATTTTCCATCACATTGATTTTAAGAGATGCATATTTTTTTTCGGCATTTGCTAATGCATCAGCGTGTGGTGACTATTTTACTTATATGTTCCAGGAGTTTAGTATTCAGAGCCAAAACAGAAAATGAGGCCCAGGTGACAGTGCCTTTGAGGTTGTTCCAGACACGTGGGAGAGCCATGGCATGATTTGCCTATTTTGCTCTAGATAGGTAATGTGGGGTTCAGAAATACCCTCGCCGAACAACATTTAGCTTGTTGATGCTCGTATGTATCTGCTGAGCGATCTTGGTGCTTGAGGTCCTGTATGCAATCAGTCTGCCTCATGCTTTCCCAGAGTGAAGGTGTGTTGTACGTCGCTTCTAATTCAAGGCCTAACAGCAGAGACCCTGAGTCCAGTGTCACTCCATGGTACTCAAGGTGCAACTGTGGTTCCCTCGCATTATTTAGACGAAATATTATGGTTTAAAGTAGAATACAGTGAAAAATTGTAGTGGGAATGCGTGTGTAGGTGTTTTGATGTTCGCTCATTGTCACTGACATTCGTTTGAGGTAACACAGAACCCCTCCTCTCCCCAATCTTAGTCCGAGGGACCCGCAGGTACCACGTAATGGCAAGTGGTTTTTTTTCAGATGTGTTGAAAAGACATTGATTTACAGTACCAAACCAACTAATATACGATTATTGCTAAATTATTTGGAAACTAGAGTGCTTTTTCTATAAAATCTTGTTTATTTGAAGTGTTTTAGTGCTGAAATATGAAGATGCTAGTTTTGGAAGAAGGGCATTTGTTTTTCAAGGAGTCAATGGAGCGTTACGTCAAACGTGCATAGATAAATGTTTATTTTCATTTTGCAGGTTTTAAATACCTCACCCGATCCTACCGGGGACTGACCTGACTGTTCCCAGGCGACCTCACCTAGGTACTCTCTTAACCCCTCATAATCGGCCCATCGAAAGTCTGGGACTCTGACCATATTGTCATTGTTTTTCGTTTCCCAATTTAGGGTGAACCTGATTTCTCTGTGATCACTGTTCCCTAGTTCTTCCCCTACTTTGATATCTCTGATAATATTTTCTTTGTTTGTTAATACTCGGTGTAATATTTGTCACCTCTAGTAGGTTATGTAATTAGTTGTTTTAAAAAATTTTTCCTGTACTTCATCTAGGAAGTCTTCAGATTCATAGTCACCTACAATGTTGTCCCAGTCAATATTTCTGAAGTTGAAATCCCCCATAATGCACAGGTTGTTATATTTTGCTGCCCTACTCATTTCCTGCCATATGGGCTGAGCTGCTTCTTTCCCAAGACTTGGGGGCCTGTAAATCACTCCTATAATTAGTTTTTCTCTTCCATTTGCAATTTCTACCCATACAGACTCGGTTCCTATTTCAGCCTTTATTAAATTATTAATACAACATTTTAATGTATCCCTGACGAAGAGTGCGACCCCTCCCCCTGCCTACCTTCCCTGTCTTTGTGCAAAAGGTTGTACCATTCTATGTGGTACTCTGATTAAAACTTCTTGCTCGTCAGATTCATCCAAGTTTCGGCGATTGCTATGACGTCGACATTCTCGGTACATACAATAGTTCTCAGCAAGTCTATTTCATTTCTAACGCTCCTACTGTTTGTATAGTATGCATTTAAACCTACCCTTCCCTGGTCCGGTTTTACCCTTTGTCCTGAGTAACCAATTTTACTCCCCAGGACCTGCTTGTTTTTTTACTACCACTTACCCTGACATCTCTCTACTGGCGAAACCGCCCCTTTGAAGTGACAATAACACCATCTGTGAGGGAATTACTACACCACGTGAGGTCCCTCATAACACCATCTGTGAGAGAATTACCCCACCACATCAGGGCCCTCATAACACCATCTGTGAGGGAATTACTACACCACGTGATGCCCCTCATAACGCCACCTGTGAGGCAATTACTACACCACGTGCTGTCACTCATAACACCATCTGCGAGGGAATTACTACACCACGTCAGGTCCCTCATAACACCATCTGAGGGAATTAGTACAAATTGTCAGGCTCCTCATAACACCATCTGTGAGGGAATTACTACACCACGTGATACCCCTCATAACACCATCTGTGAGGGAATTACTACACCACGTGATGCCCCTTATAACACCATCTGTGAGGGAATTACTACACCACGTGATGCCCCTCATAACACCATCTGTGAGGGAATTACTACACCACGTGATGCCCCCCATAACACCATCTGTGAGGGAGTTACTACAACACGTGATGCCCCTTATAACACCATCTGTGAGGGAATTACTACACCACGTGATGCCCCTCATAACACCATCTGTGAGGGAGTTGCTACACTACGTGTCTGCTGTTCAACACCTCAGCGCACATGATCTACGTGACCTCCACTGTAAACATTAATCTGTATGTTCACTGTATGTTCCTTTTTCTTTCTCTAATGAAGACTTTTGTTAAACCACCAATGTATGTAATACGTCCTTTATGTCCAATGTATATTTTCAACCTTCGGGCTGCAGAACTTTTTCAATAAACCGTTTATTATTATTATTATTATTATTATTATTATTATTATTATTATTATTATTATTATTATTATCACACACACACACACACACACACACACACACACACATTTTGTTAGGAGATAGCCACAGGGCAGAATGTGTCATCCTCCACTCCTTGTTTCGTGAGGTAATAAACATCGCCTGAGTGAAGCTGTGGCCTGAGCCAAATGACAAATATTTTGGGAAAGTTTTGCGGAACGTGATAATGGTTCCTGTCCCTTGTTGACGCCGCTGTCACACGCACTATCACATCACTATCACCACAAGAGATGTGGTGGGATGGATGGAGGAGAGGGGGGATAAGTAGTGGAAAAAGGAAAGTTAGAAGGAACAAATATTTGAGTAAATGTGTATAACTACTGACTCAATTGATCATTTTTGTATCAGTAATCAAGTCACTTTGCAACAGCTTTAAAAAGTGGATGCAAGGATTAACTTTATGAATGTAAACATTATTACGATAAGAGACTCATTTAATATTAATAATACTTTATGAAGTCTGTTATACGAGTATGCAAACATATGTATACCTGTGTGGTAGCGGGAGTTACAGTATATGAGGTAAACACAGTATAGTTAGGCAGTATCTCTCTTATCGCTGTGTCTTGCATTCTGCTTAAATATGTCCACCGTCTTATTCTGCGTTCATTCCAGCCCAGGTGAGGTTACCATGCTTCACCCCGATCCTTCTCCCTGATTTATTGAGCCAATTTTACAGCTCACAACACTCCATGCTCAACATGACTCACAGTGCTCATTGCCCAGCACAACTCACAGCTCTCCATACCCAACACAAGTCACAGCACTCCATTGCCCAGCACAACTCACAGCTCTCCATGCCCAACACAAGTCACAGCACTCCATGTTTAGCACAACTCACAGCTCTCCATGCCCAACACAAGTCACAGCACTCCATGTTTAGCACAACTCACAGCTCTCCATACCCAACACAAGTCACAGCACTCCATTGCCCAGCACAACTCACAGCTCTCCATACCCAACACAAGTCACAGCACTCCATGTTTAGCACAACTCACAGCTCTCCATGCCCAACACAAGTCACAGCACTCCATTGCCCAGCACAACTCACAGCTCTCCATGCCCAACACAAGTCACAGCACTCCATGTTTAGCACAACTCACAGCTCCATGCCCAACACAACTCACAGCTCCATGCCCCAACACAAGTCACAGCACTCCATGTTTAGCTCAGCTCTCCATGCCCAACACAAGTCACAGCACTCCATTGCCCACAACCTCACAGCTCTCCATACCCAACACAAGTCACAGCACTCCATGTTTAGCACAACCACAGCTCTCCATACCCAACACAAGTCACAGCACTCATGTTTAGCACAACTCACAGCTCTCCATACCCAACACAAGTCACAGCACTCCATTGCCCAGCACAACTCACAGCTCTCCATGCCCAACACAAGTCACAGCACTCCATGTTTAGCACAACTCACAGCTCTCCATGCCCAACACAAGTCACAGCACTCCATGTTTAGCACAACTCACAGCTCTCCATACCCAACACAAGTCACAGCACTCCATTGCCCAGCACAACTCACAGCTCTCCATACCCAACACAAGTCACAGCACTCCATGTTTAGCACAACTCACAGCTCTCCATGCCCAACACAAGTCACAGCACTCCATTGCCCAGCACAACTCACAGCTCTCCATGCCCAACACAAGTCACAGCACTCCATGTTTAGCACAACTCACAGCCCTCCATACCCAGGAACGCAACAATTTCCATATTACAGTAGAATCGATGGTCCGCTGCTTCACCTGACAGTAAGATACATCACTACTTCTGTTGGCAGAATCATCTTAAGAATCTAATGTTGTAGTTAAATCGTCTTTAGCTAAGCAAAGGCAAGAGCGTTAGTGTTTATGTTTTGTTTTACTAACGTCCTGCCGATCGTCAACACACTTCCCTTTGATTCAAGTCGAGAAAAATGTTCTTCCTGTACCAACTGTGTTTACTCCCCTGTTATATATACTCTCGTTAGACCTATAGTTCTTGTGTAGGTGTGTTGACCTTCCTCTTATCTTTCCTGTCAAGAACCTAGCAACTTATTCCTTGTCATCTCTGAACTTTCGACCATCTAAAGAAGTCCGCTCCTCAGTAACAGTTACTAATATATCAAACATCAATAGAAGTACGAAAGGAAAACTCTTTACCGTTTTCCAGGCTCCAAAGTCTTTCTCAAGGTTTGTCATGGCCACATCTATATTCTACCATACTGAACAGGGATGACAAGCGTATGCCCTACCAGACATACATTTCTTGGTGAAGTTCATCTTTATTTTTGTATGGGAAGTTACGAAGTTGGTCGTTGAATTACACAATTATTCTGTTACCCTACCTCTCGGTGTCAGGTTCATTATGACAGTGACGTTTGAAGCTGCAGTGGAAGTTATAATATTTCTTGAAGCAAAAATTATTCGCTCCTTTAAGACGCCCTTCTCTACATTAACCCAAACTTTATACATATTAGCTAAAGTAATATTGGATTAGATTAAGTTAGGTTTGTTATGTTAGTTCTGATATTATTAACTTACACAATGTACTATGTTTAATGACGCAATCACTGCTGAATCATATAACTTATGTCTACATACATCATTTCACTCGACTCTAGATGTAATATATCTACGAATTATACCATGGGCAGTATAACGTGTCATGAACTCTTTTCATTTTCTCTTCCAAAGGCATCAGAAAATATTTTTTGTATCTATTTGGTGTAAAACAAAACGTTAAACGCAACATTTGCAATGTGGGAAAGAATCAACATTCACAAATGGCAAATGTTTAATGGCTTCAATATCAAACAGTTATATCCTTCAGTGTGATATATTTTCGAGCAGGTTTAGCTTTTTCCAGATTAAAACTTAATAATATGTACATAATTAAATAAATCTATATTTTGTGTTTGATCGTAATAACATTTACATTATTTAGTAAGGGGAGCGTCCGCCTGAAGCACGAAATTCGTTAATAATTGATCAATCAATATAAATTTCATGTCAGCAATTGAGGATACCAGATACATAATTGCTATTCCTCTGAATCGGTTCTGCTTAGTCCCTAATCCCTGATATATGAATTTTCCCTTATATTCTAATAAATTTAAAAACAATTTACTTCTCCATAACTTCTCTCTAAATTACGTTAGAGTTCAAGTGTCATATAAGAAATTTACTCCCTCTTGATCGTGAGATGTATATATTTCTGATAATCGCTTACGTATTGAGTGCATGATATTTGTTCCTAACTTGCCATTTTTCCCTTCAAATATTTATAAAGTTAAATCAGCAAATAATAAACCAAGATAAATAGAAAGAAAACATATATGTTCAGCTTTGCACAATATACTATTCTACTACTTAGCTTCTGTTTTATCAGAATCGACCCTTAAATAGCCGACCCTTTAGGATTTGAAGGTTAGAAAAATTAGTTTTGAGATACGGGCCGACAAGTATGGAGTGAGAGCAATTCACGATTGTACCTCATTCTCGCATGTTTGATGCGTACCTGACTCTCGTCCTCTTGTTGAATTACGCGATCAATAAACATACGTAAGCACATATCCATAGGCAACAGCTTTCCTCAGGAATTTTTCTGGATATTTTCGTAATTTTCTGATTTTCATCGTATTTTCAGCCTGACGCACCCCCGTAAAGCCGAGTTCACGATTTAAATGTTATATCACATCACTTGATCACTGCCACAACACTAAAGCTCATCAATTCAAGCAAATTCATTACTTTAATTTTCTTAATTAATGATGACGTTATCCATCGTAACTACATAAGGAGTCAAGCTTTAAGGAGCCAAGCTTTAAGGAGTCAAGCTTTAAGGAGGCAAGCTTCAAATACTTTGGAAATTAGATTTTAATCATTTATCATTGTTGCAAACCTTAATCACTTTTGACTGTTGATGAAGACACAATGAATTACAAATTATTTCAACTGACTCCTGACCAGTGAAAGAGACAGTGCAGGTTGTCACCTGAAGGACTCTGACTTCAGATCTGATTGTGCCAAAATGATGCCAATAAAAGTGAAGCCGCTAAAGTTTGCTTCACATCTCGTGAGGACCGCCGCCGTCCACTAACACACTAAGACACCTTTTATGCCAGTGAGACCAAGGCTGACGCAAAACACTCTTGGAGGAAGGAACTCCTCAGTGTGGGAAGTTATAGCTTATGGAAGAGATAGTATGATAGACTGGTGGAGGAAAGAGTATAGGAGTATGATTATTGTCGGTAATTTGTTTACTTTGATGATATAATTAACCACCAAGAAATATGAGGAATATTTATGTGGTGAGGCAGGAGTGCAGGCTCCAACCACACATGTTGGCTCCTTTTCCTGATCCAGTGGTGCAAGTGTTCCAACGACTGGGGAGAGGGAGAGATGCAATGGACTGCCAATACACCAGTTTGCTTGATTTCCCCTTAGTAGCCTGTCCATCATGCATTGCCTTCGTCTGCTGGTGTAGTCTTTGGGTTCCCATGGTTTTCACCTCTACCGCCTCTACCACTGTTGGAGTCTTGTTGGAGCTCTGTAAGCATGTCTGCCTGATGCGGGGCTTCACGGCAATTTTTTCGTTCAGGGTTTACTCCCGTTGCTTTATGCCTTCCATGGTTAATACACAAGGCAGCGGGGCAATGATTGGTAGGCGCCAGGACGTGCCCCCTCACACACACACACTATCAGTGCATCAGGTTAAGTTAGGTCTCCCCCAAAGAATAATTTAGATTTTGTGTTTATTCAAGACAACTTCAGGTCATGAGACCCACTAATCCCCCACCCAAGAAAAGGTGACCTGATATTCCATCCCTGTAAATTCAGTTGCCTCTGAAGATGTCTTGAATAAAGACGAAAGCTAAGGTGCTCCAGTGTATACTTAGTTGGCCGAGAGCTCGATTAGCGGAATTATCGAGAAAGTACTTTATTATTATTATTATATCCCTCCCCTCAGGCTCCGATGTGGGGCAGCGTCCAAACAAGGCAATATATCAAATTCCAATCTCCTGACGATGAAAAAAGTGTGAAGTTATCAGCACCACTGAGAAACTAAGCTATCAACTTTAATACTTGGGAAGATTATTATAGTGTGTTATAAAGTGAGGCCATGAGTAACACTGCATTATGAAACTAAGAATTCAGCAACAAAATAAAACTTTATATTCATTCCTCTGATGTATCGGCCATCAATATCCCAAGTTATCTCGTTCGTTTGATGGACCAAGATCAGTCTGTCAGGTTTGTTACCAAAACATAACGTATTTATCAGCCACTTCCAGGAAATGGAATAGGCATGTAATGTTATCTTCATTTATTTATGTATGACCCTTGTTTCAGTTTTACACTTAAGATATTTTATGTTGACAAGTGAACAAATGGGTGGATGGAGGTATCACCTGAGTAATTAAGTTTTGCACGGAGAAGGCAGGTAATTAATATCAGACTTCATCTCCCTCCGCTTAGCGCTCGGTGAAACACCCCCACGCACTACCGAGAATCATCCTGTTCTAAACATTTAGTTAAGAAGTACAGTGCTGGTCGTCTCCGATGTGAGTTTGTTTGATTTTTGCTACCAACGTCCTCAAATACAAACAGATGAAAACAAAAATTCATAGAGGCTCATTCTTTTTTAGCCTGGCACCAATAAATTTTGGCCAGAATTTGTCTAAGGCCAAAGTCATATTTCGCCCAAAATCTCATTCCCTTTACAGGTTCACAGTTATTAACCGATCTTTGCAGAGTGTTAACCATAAATAATTTAGTTTTATGTGAAGTAATAGACAAATTGTTCTCATACTCGGCCGGAGCACATGTCATAGGTCACCGAGTTGGCTCTGTATTCTGTTCGCAACAAAGATTAGACGATTTTTAAGCAAATTTCGTAACCGAAAGTCACTGAAAATGTATATATTACCAATAATCATTGTTGATCGATCATTTATTGACCATGCCTAGTGCTGACCCCCACCATATGCTGACCCCACCAAGTGCTGACTCCATCACATACTGATTCCACCATGTGCTGACCCCATTACATACGGACTCTACAATGTAATAGCTTCTGCATCATATAGACAGTAGTACTTATAAAAGTGTGAGCTATTTTCCTGTATTAATTGTACAACTTACACTACCTGAATTAACTCGAAAAACGGCAACAAGCATAGCTGATCACTTCCTTCTCACGTGTTAGATGACATTACCATGTCCTTCACGCACCTCTGATTTGCACAGGCCATCACCAAGTGCCCAGCCCTCAGTGAACTTAACCCTTGTATCCCAGAAGCGACAGACGGGTTAAAGGAGTTCTATAAATTAACGCCTATCATCGGTTAAATCATTATTACAACATAATTACAACATATTTTGGTAAATAAACAAGAAAGCTATATATTATTTGCAACAATTAAGTAGTCTGAAACAACTACAAACATAGATTATACTGACCTCACCAAGCGCTGACCCCATCCCATACTGACTCCATCAAGTACTGACCCTAAAAGTAAAAAACCCATCACAAATTGACCCCACCAAGTGCTGATCCCCTTACATACTGATCTCACAAGGGATTTTTTTTTACGGGAATAACCCTCTTGGACACAGGTCATCAACCCACAACGGGTCCAAGGGTGCAAAAAAATAAGAGTAAAACAAATTGAAAATAAAAGAGAAAAAGACTGTATTAATCTACACCACGAAGATGCCGGAAAATAAGCTTTTTGAAGTGAGACATTGTAAGAATATGGAAACACAGAAGAAGGCAGAGCATTCCAAAGTTTGTCTGTGTGGGGAAAGAAGAATGT